TGCACCTTGTTGTCTCGGATTCTCCAGCATCTGCAGTTCCTACTATCCAAGCTGAGAGGTGTTTCCTTTTCGCTCACAAAGCTTTATCTACATCAACTCGTGTCTCTCAGTCCCCCCTCTCTCTCTCAGGGAGATATCTGTACACTGACTGGTGTCTCTCAGTCCCCCCTCTCTCTCTCAGGGAGATATCTGTACACTGACTGGTGTCTCTCAGTCCCCCCTCTCTCTCTCAGGGAGATATCTGTACACTGACTGGTGTCTCTCAGTCCCCCCTCTCTCTCTCAGGGAGATATCTGTACACTGACTGGTGTCTCTCAGTCCCCTCTCTCTCTCTCAGGGTGATATCTGTACACTGACTGGTGTCTCTCAGTGCCCCCCCTCTCTCTCAGGGAGATATCTGTACACTGACTGGTGTCTCTCAGCCCCCTCCCTCTCTTTCCCCCAGGGAACACTCTGGACATATTCTGTGCGGGGGCAGCTGCAGAATAAAAACGAAGCAAGATTGCAAACATGAAAGAACAGCGATCGCTTGTGAACATGGCCAACAGACGCTGGTTTAAGAACAGATTTGCCAACGATTAATTTTATTGTTCTCGAGTACGTGTGTGTGTGCGTGTGTGTGCGCGCGAGTATGTGGGGCTGTGAAAGGACATCAGAGGAAAAACCGCCAACCCTGGCCACCCGAAGATGTACAGCGAAAAGCCAGCTCCGGCACCTCAGAACGCTGCCCCACTGTGAGGCACCCGGTTTCTACCGTTAACACACACCCCCGGCCCCCCACTAAATCCCCCAAACCCCCCAACGACAACGTCTCCCGTACTGAATTCTCGCTAACCCGAACACAGCCGCTCATATTACATTAAAAAAAAACCACAGGGAAAGGAGAGAGATAAAAACAGAGAAAAAAAAGGAAAACAAAATTATACAGGTTTTTTTTCTCTTCACAGTCTTGAGGGAACCTAAAACGATGCAGGAGGGTGGTCTCCTCTGGAGGCAGATAGCGTCCACTGCCATGGGAACCAAGCTACGGGGAGGTAGGAGTTTCTAAGGAGATCTGAGGAGGGAGGGAGGGAGAGAGAGAGAGAGAAAAACAGGGGAGCAGTCAGTACAGGCAATCGCAGAGAGACAGTGACTATCATTTCAGAACTCGGCACGGGGCGAGCGAACGGGAAGGGGTTTGGGGTCCATGGGGACGGTGTAGAGTGGGAGTGAATGGGATGGGCTTTGGGACAGTGTAGAGCGGGAGTGAACGGGCAGGGGTCTGGGGTCCATAGGGACGGTGTAGAGCGGGAGGGAACGGGAAGGGGTTTGGGACGGTGTACAGTGGGAGCGAACGGGGAATGGGTTTGGGACGGTGTAGAGCAGGAGCGAACGGGGAATGGGTTTGGGGTCCATGGGGTTTGTGTAGAGCGGGAAGGAACGGGAAGGGGTTTGGGACGGTTTAGAGCGGGAGGGAACGGGGAAGGGGTTTGGGGTCGGTGTAGAGTGGGAGCGAACGGGGAAGGGGTTTGGGGTCCGGGGTCCATGGGGTCGGTGTAGAGCGGGAGCGAATGGGGGAAGGGGTTAGGGAACACTCGACAGGGCCCGGGTCGGGAATGCTGGATTGGAATTAATCAAACGGCGCGTACCTCGGATACCTCCGTCGCTCCCGGGGACTTGGTGAGCCGTGGCGTCTCTTCCTGACCGGCGATCCACTATCCGAACGTCTCCGCCGCCTCTCCCTGTTGGAGGTGGGAGAAGACATGGGGCGGGGGGGGATTAGCAAGAATTTACACTTACAGCTGAGACTCTCCAAACCCTCCCGCACCCCAACCCTTCGCAGCCACTGCCGTGGCTGTCTGACCCCGCACCCGCCAACCCGACCACAACCCCACCTCCCCGCTCCAACCTCACCAATAACAGGTTTGCAACCCGTCGCTGCGCAGAGGGATCTGGGAGACCCAGCGCACGGATCACCTCAAGGCAGCGGGAGAGGGGGGCTGGGACGGGGAGGTGGTCCTCTCCCATCTGGAGGACCATGGCCCCGGGGCTCGGAGGAAGGGACAGAGCCGCGCTCGGCCGATTTCCCTGTGAGGCAGAGCGAGGCAGACACGGGGAGGGAACGGGAAACAGTTTACCGTCTGTTGCTGGAATCACGAGACCGCCGTGACCGTCTCCGCTCTGCCGGAGAGTAACTGAGCGACCTGGAATCCCGCAAGGAATCGATTGGCTTCCGTGGGCTCCGTGACCTCCTGCAGCCGCAAACGGAAAAACAGGGAGAGAGCTCAAGATGGCTCCTGTATCTCCAACACACACTCTCTCTCTCTCTCACACACACACACTCCTGTACCTGGGAAGGTCTCTCTAACCCTCTCTCTCTCTCACACACACACACACACACACACACACACACAGACACACGCACTCCTGTATCTGGGGGAGGTCTCTCTAACCCTCTCTCACACACACACTCACTCCTGTATCTGGGGAGGTCTCTCTAACCCTCTCACACATACACACACTCACTCCTGTATCTGGGGAGGTCTGTCTAACCCTCTCTCTCTCTCACACACACTCCTATACCTGGGGAGGTCTCTCTAACCCTCTCTCACACACACACACACTCCTGTATCTGGGGGAGGTCTCTCTAATCCTCTCTCTCTCACACACACACACACACTCCTGTATCTGGGGAGGTCTCTCTAATCCTCTCTCTCTCTCATACACACACTCCTATACCGGGGAGGTCTCTCTAACCCTCTCTCTCACACACACACACACACATAGCAGTGAGCGTACAGCTATCTCCCTGAGAGAGAGGTTTGGGGGGGCGTTGAGAGGGTACTCACCGTCTGGAAGTTGGAGGGGAACGTTGCTTGTGTTCCGCTTTCCTCCTGGGAACAGACCGGGACCTGGAGGCGGAGCTGCCGGACAAGCTGCTGGATGTGTGACCCCCGTGTCTGTGGCGGCGATTCCCTGGAGCCCCCCGGCGTCGCCGCGACCCACTGCGGCTGCGGCGGGAACGTCCTCGGCCCGGGGCCCCCCTCCTGGAAGGGGACCGAGACACCCGACGGCCCGCCTCCGAGGAGGAGTGACGGTTTCGCGCTCTGCGCTTTGCGGCAGGGCTGCTGGGGGAGGGGGGTTGTGTGTGTGGAGTATAGAGAGAGAGAAGCAGGCGCGTGGGAGGACAGACAGAGAGAGGGGTCAGGCGCGGGGGGGG